ATCACGGCGTCTTGTACTGCTTGTGGCGGATTGTGTCCATGGTATAAAGTTCACATACCTCCTGTATCGACACAGTCTGGTAAATAGTTTAAGATTTTTTTTCCTGCTTTGAGGGGCATGGTTAAGAACATTGCCAAAAGTGGTATCGAAAGTAGAGGGGTCGGAGTTTATATTCGTCATAAAAAAAGAATCTGCACAATTGATTGGTCCATTGCGCATCATGTGATGATTTTTTTTTTCCACAATTCATGGTGGTCGTTTCCTTGCTTTCCTAGGTAGAGCAACCTTCATTGAACTATAACATGGCGCCTCATCAGCACCATAGATTTAACTGTTATCTAATATAACTTCTTTTCTTTCCGGAAACTTTTACATATAAACACGTTTTGATGTAACCCATGATATTTTTAAAAGGGCCATCGAATTTTGATGAGGTTATTTTTTCGTATCTTGTTCATCTTCTCCCATTACTCGTCCTGATCTTTTGTCCTATTTTTGTTGCCATTTGATAGAGGGAATGTGTCCCCCCCCCCCCACCCCCCATTTGTCTACACAACTGTCCCATTATTAAACATACCCTCGAGAATATTTGTTTTTGCTTTTGTATCTGGGAGAGTAGATGATTATTATCTTTCCCTCTCACTCTCTATTATATTTCAGATAATGTTACAGCATTTCGTGTATTTGAAAATGAACAAGGTATGTACACTGTCGCTCATATAGTTGGAATATATTTTTTTTTATCCCAATTTCAGAGTTATTTTAACAATGATTTATTCCTAATAGATATAGATAATAGTATACATTCTCATATATTTTATTGAATAATAATTTGCAAGTGTTTTTTTTTTTTGCGTGACTGCTGAAGCATGTGTATGCTACTATGCTTATCAACTAGGGGACCTACGCCCTTAAGTCATAAATGACAGTAATGAGGATTAATGCCCCACAAAAGTGCACTCATATCGCACATCGACACGGTTTTGATCCTGGGGCCTCACAGTTACGAAGCCATTGCTTTGCCACTGAACTATGACTGTACGCAGCGGGGGCTACGGCAGGGGGCAGTTCCCATAAACAAATTAAAAAATGCAATAAATTATCAATAATTCATTGAACTTTCCCCGTTCCCAACATATTTTTTTTTTCTGTGTGCCCTTGCCTTGAGCCATAATGCATGGCCGCACAGAGGATTTTTGTTTATGTTGGGGACTGGGGGGGAATTCAATGAATTATTGATTATTTATTGCAATTTCTTCTTCTTGCTTTTTATTTGTGGGAACTGCCCGCTATAAGCATATTGTACCTACGTCATAATTTGTTTTGTAAACGCGGCGCTGTTTACAGCATCATATCTGAACAAGGTGTATAGGCTTGTTCACATAATAGTTGTGGTCGTTTACCGCAAGGTTGCTTAATCGTCCTTAAGCGTACTGCACGGCAAACATTATTACCGCATGTCCCTTTACTTGAAGAGGGTCCCCACATCATTAGGATTATTGTCATTCATTTTGTGTAATTCAATTCATTTTTTTTTTAATCCATAACTCAATCAAAACATTAATTCATTCATTGTAATTACAGTCATGACAGTTAGGCGGTATAGCGTCAAACTATTTCGGTCCAATTGTGCATTTTGTGACTAAAATCCGGGAAATATGACTGACAGATGTGTATCACAAGTTAATGTTCGAAGCAAAACTGGATATTGATCAATTGTAAAGTCACATAGTAGTCATTATCCATGTGTATTGCATCAAATTCAATACAAAAAGGTACGCTGATATCAAAACAATAAATCTGATTGAATAAATTATTGGCCCGAATTCACAAAGGATGTTTGTCGACAGACCTAGGTTTATGTGCGTCATATGACGCGTTTGTAAAAACGCGTCAAAACCCGTCAAATGACGCACATGAACCTAGGTTTGTAGACGAACCTCCTTTGTGAATTTAGGCCATTCTTTCCGGTCCACTTTGGTCATTTCAATGATAGGCTAGCGTTCTGCTCTGCTGTACGAGTTGAAAGTTGTCGCCCGCGAGGCGAAAAATTGGCCTGTCGCGGTTTACCAGTAAGGCGCTGTTAATTGGGAATCCAACCTGTTAGCTCAATAGAGAAATTTTGTTTAACTTACATGTGCGTCTAACCTAGTACCTATATGAAAAAAAATAACAATTGAGTTGCTTTGCCGCCCGACTGTATTGGATATAAACATCCCTTTCCACACTTTATTTCTATTTGCATCAGAACCACAAGTTGACGTTGCGCCCGACGTAGACGGCTTATACACAGATTGGAAGATAGAAAAGGCAAAGCCAAAGAAGGAACAATTTGACCCCGAAGAAGTAAATATACGTTTAAGGGGGTCTTTATCCAACTTTCTTTTCTCTTTGTTTGTCATTAATTTAGCTTATCTCAAAAGTACCTTCTCCTTTGAGATTACTCCATAAAAATTTTATGGAGAGCATAATATTCTAGTAGGTCTCCTTAAAATAAAACACCCTTCAGAGTCATAAATTGTTTAAATGCATTTTTAGGTATTTATTGTGTAAGAGCAAACGGTTGAGTTGTTCGCCATTACATAACAGTGATATTTTCGATCTTGCCAATTTAAAATTCCCTTTATAATGATTAAAACTTTCAAAATTGTATAATTGTATATTGTTAGTTATATTTCGTTCAAAATGTCTGGTTCTCTAATGCTTTAAGAGCAAGATAACCAACAGTGTCTTTCAAGACTACACCAACAGTCCTTGTCGGGACTACACACCCTCAAGAAAAATTACCGAGAGTCCTTTTCAGGACTCCTCAATCCTCTTTCTCTCTCTTACATGGTGCACCCGAAAGCCTACTGTATAACTTTAAATTGTTAGTTATATTTCGTTCAAAATGTCTGGTGCTTTCAGAGCAATTTGCTGTAATAATTGTTGATTTTCGTTTATTCCCGTCAGAATTACGTGATGCACACATCTGTCTACAAGGGGCTCGTACTCATAATAAACAACACTTATTTTCATGAGGGAAGAGATCGTCCTGGGTCGGAGTTGGACCTGGTCAATATCAAACATGTCTTCGGACGAATCGGCTATGAACCTGTCATCATGACAAATGTGTCTGCCAATGTAAGTTAAAGATGAAGTTGAGTTCTGGTCATGCGATTGCATTGTGAAAGAAACGGTGTGGAATCGACCAGAAAAAGTTGATCATCTAGCATATACGAATTTGTGTGTATTGCAAGGTTTTGAAATTTGGCCAAGTCTTGGTAAAGTTACAAACACTGTACACAGAAAGATGTATATGGAACTACACGAACACGTGGCGTAAAAATCCTACCCTGGATTTTTACGATGTTACATGCCATATTTAGATTATGAAGGCATTTGAAGAGCCATGCTTTTCAGGGAACAAAATTATCAGCTTCTTCTCTGGAAAAAGCTTCCTTCCTACTATACCGTTCTGTGGATGTTTTCAACAAATATTTCAAAGTCAAATTTCTCCTTTATGAATCCGTAATCTGAACGGTATATTTCAACTGTAGATCGATAAATACAATTATCTCACTGTTTGACAATGCAATGATGTATATCGCTTAGAAACAAAAGTTTTTTTCTAAGAGCTATATGAAATTAGTGTCTTGCAAAGGCCTGATGACTTATGTCAATTTGGTATTCTGCACTCCATTAATCATTTTGCAATTCAAACAAGCCATTTTACAAATTAAATTAAGGTCTGACATAAGCCAAGATGATTTAAATGTATGTTTGATTGATACTCCAGTCATTAGTTTATTGCCAACCTTGAGACCATTTTTACGTCAGATATTATAGACAAATATTCCTCTGAACAAAGTGATAACCTTTTGTTTTTCTTTCACTTTTTCTTTTTCTCTTTTCTTTGTCATCAATTTTGGAGACCTGAATTCGCCTCTATCTTGATTCATCATTCCACATTTATTTATGCCTCCATCCATAGAAGATGGTGCCGGAGGGCTTATGCCGAAAGGATGGGTAGCGTCGAGTCGCGTTGACTTGAACGCGACCCCCCCCCCCCCCCCTCCCCCATCCCCCGGTTGGCCGAAAGGGTGCGTTGACTAGTCTTCCACATCAGTTGTTTAAAATAGAATTTATGTTAAAATTCAAATAATCAAAATAGAAATATATTAAAATTAAAATAAAGCTAGTTTTTTACCTAGTCTCGCAGATCAGGCGTTTATAAGAATTAAATCAGTAAATAACAAGAAACCCAATCAAATAATTTACCATATAAAGGTGTTTACCTATTCTTGCATATCAGTCGTTTATTTATCAAAATAAAAATAACAATATCCATTTCTTTCTATGTATGGAATTCAGAAAGCCCCCCCCCCCCCCACCCACTTGTCCCGAAAGGGTGAATTAAGCGGTGGTGAATTCAGGGAGCGGGAGGCCCGGGCCCCTCCCCTAGGAAAAAACAGGTAAAAACACGTTAATTCTACCTTTATGTGGAAACTTACCCCCCCCCCCCTCCCCACTTATATTCACCGGCTGGCTGTTTGTCGGCTAAATATTTTCTCACGAATTGGGCCACCTCTTTGGGCCCCTCCCCTGCCGCCGACTGGATCCGCCGCTAGCATTAAGCTAGGCCTACTCTGTTATTTATTTATTTATTTTTTATTTCATTTGTAAAGACTGTTATGCATGACTAGTATACATCAACAAATGAATTCTATACATAGAAAGAAATGGATATTATTCTTTATTTGACAATTTTAAATATTTATTGAATGTAAGACTACGACTACGTAAAAACTAGTTTTATTTAATTTTTAATCGCTTTCTATTTTGATTATTTGAATTTAAACGACTTTAAATTTCTATTTCTTAAATTCTATTACAAACAACTGATGTGGAAGACTAGTCAACGCACCCTTTCGGCCATAATTCGTACTGAAATCATATTGACCGTCACATCTTAAATTCCCCCGTGCAGGAAATTCGTACCTTTCTGGACAAGTCTGTAAGCAGAATTAATCTAGAGGATTCCGTCTGTCACTCATCTGTGGTCCTTGTTCTTATGAGTCATGGTGAGAAACGAGGCATCTATGGTACCGACTTGGAAGTTGTGACAATTCGGGAGATAAAGTCTAAGTTTTCTGGAAGACAATGCCCAGCTCTCATCGGAAAACCAAAGATCTTCTTTATCCAGGCATGTCGAGGACGTAAGTCATACGTTTGGGTTTGATATGAACGTTTAGGGCACGCTAATCTAAGAAAGTAATGTTAAATGATAAATGCATTTAAAAATGAGGCTACGTACAGTCCTCGTTAAAGTCATGTGAGGTTTTTATGAGACAGACAGCCCACGACACTTACAATGTTGATCTAGTGAGCCTTTTTTAAAGTTATCTAAGGGTTTCACGCAACAGACCACGAGACGTTCAATGTTAGTCTCGCGAGCCTTCTATAAAGTTATAAGGGTTTCACGAGACATGCAGCCCACAAGACCTACAATATTGGTCTCGCGAGTCTTCCATAAAGTTATCTGACGGATTATCGAGCCAAACCACGAGAATGTCGATCTGGTTGGTCTTTTGACAACTATTTAAGAGTTCACGAGACCGTCATTACTTGCGTTGGTCTCGTTGGGCTGTCGTGCTGCACTGGGATTAAAGGGGCTTGATGCCTTCCAGTTGATCAGAATTGTTTTTATAAAAAATAATATACCGTTTCCCGATTCCTTTACATTATGCTCAGTATATAATAACCTCATTCAGTTGTAATGGATAAGATCCCATTTCGAATTTTCCAATTCAATTTTAAAAGTTTATTTAATCAAACTAGGGTAATTATAATGAAGTCTGTAAAATTCCATATATATGACAAAATATATCTATTCTTAGTTTCATTACATTTTTCATTTAGAATTGAAAATATGCCCTCTTCATTCCACACCCGATTCTAGACATGCCCACGAAGAGTGCTCTTGACACTGATGATCCTAGAAGACCTTTGGCAATCGAGTTGGTGGGTGATCCCGACATCGATTCTTGTTCACTGGATGTTGATGGCGATGTTCCAGATAACGCTGATATATATGTGGCCTACGCCACTTCCGAAGGTGAACTAAAAACTATGCAATCTTAAAATGAGTGAACAGCTAATCAATGATATCATTCAAGAACATATCTACAAACATATTTTGAGGGGGGTTGAATTTTTTTTAGATCTTAGATTTTAGATTGGTCTGGGTAAGAGGACATTTTTTTTTTTTTTTTTGGTCTCGAAATTTGAAAAATTAACATTTTGTTCCGTTTGGAGGGGGGGGGGGTAAGGACACCTTTTTTTAAGTCAGCCATTGGTATAATTTATTTTATTTTTTTTATAAAAGAAAAAAAAAATCAAAAGGGGGGATTTTCACAAAAAAAACATACTCACAACATAAACATAAAAACTCAAGGGGGGTTAACCCCTCCCCCCCCCCCCCCCCCCCCCCCCCCCTGCGTACGCGCCTGATTCTAGTCAGGATAAAAGCCGAATCGGTTTCAAATCGTAGACAAACGCACAAGTCTGCTGGCAATGAGTATGACGCGTCACTACGCTTCGGAGTCGATTTAATTATTCCTCCTCCCAAGAAGTTTGAATGTTCATATTAAATGCTATCGCAAATTCAGATCGTAGTCAGATCATAAATAGTGTGATAGTCACATTGTGTGCGGTGGGCTTAAGTTACAATTAATCTCTTGTGTATTCATTTCGGCAGGTTATTTTTCAATCCGTAATCGAGTGGATGGTTCCTGGTTCATACAGAGCTTATGTGAGGAGTTGATTGCCCACGTACACATTGAAGATCTTGACACCATCATGAACAGGGTGATTATCAACCATATCTTTCTTTAAATGTTATGAAATGATGACGTAGATCCTAATCAATAATGATTGGTTAAGAGCGGGCAGAGACAGAGCATTTACTACACCTAACCAATTGTTATAGCCCTTGCTACCGCCTTCGAGACCGACAGTTGGACATATTAATGATAATGATATTAACTCAATAAGAATAATTTTGTTTACCCAGAGATGCCTCATCAGCACCGAAGCTGTTCGTCCTGCAATTATAAGCACCTTAGCAATTGCTAGGTACCCATTTACAACTCCGTGGAGAGTGTTAAAAGTACTCTATAGGTTAATGCCTTGCCAGAGGACATTTGTGTCGGGCAGTGATGTTCAAACCCTTAACCCTAAAGGACTGAGCCACTATACCACGAATCTTTCATAATCTACTAATCATGGCGATTCTTAGAGAACAGATAAGTTGACACTTCATGCTTTATTAATCGGTGGAATCTACCTAATTAGTTATTTAGCCGGAGTTTAAAATACACTTTTATAAATACTGAATAAAATATCTACGACACTACATGCCCTGCAGTTTTATACTTTATGTACTATATTTCATTTATCCATATTTTATCTTGGTATTCCATTCAACAAAACATGGTATCCCATGGGGCGCCGAAAGTACATCACAACTATATCCAGTTTTTTTTTTAAATTAATCAAAACAGCATAAATGCCAGTTGCACATCACCTTATTTGTGTCTGCATCAGAAACGGAATTAATTTTAAACATATTCTGTCACATCTGGCCACTGAAGAAGAGTGTGACACTATCCTGTTTCTTTTTTTTCCCCTTCTTTTTTGGACAAGTCATCACCCTCCGCCTGCCGGATGGAGGGTTGTTTTTAGGCCGTTTTAGTTTGTTTTTTCTCCTTATTAAAACGGATTCGTTAGATATATGCATGTATATATATCCATATATATATATATATATATATATCTGTGAATAATGTGCTGACTGGGCTAGTCCCTTAAATTGTCAGTAAACGGAGCAGCAGGAGGGCACCGGGCCCCATCGGGCAGAGCTAAGGATTGAAATGGGTTATACAAAAAATATTGCAAAAAATAGTGCAAAATTATTTACTTTACTTGTATCAAAGAGAACTGTTGCTGAGCTAGCGCCATGAGCGTACCTGGACGGTGTGTGCGCTCTATAAGTTTACACTATTATTATTATTATACCTCCGATATTAAGTCCTTGTGTTAGCATAATTATTTATATTTACATAATGACATGATTATATATTACCATAAATTGGACTGAATTTGCTTTTAGGATGTGCGATTGGGATATGACGCTAGCCTTTATTATCATACCTTTTTTTTTCTTTTATATATTCTTGATTATATAACAGGTGACAAGGCGTGTTATCGGCTTTACGCGCTCTGTAATCGACGGCGAAGGAAAGAAGAAAAAGTGGTTACAAACTCCAGATATATCCAAGCAAGGCATCGGAAAGAAAATTTACTTCATGCCTAACTATCCACCTCGATCTGATGCCGCATGTAGCTTGACGCACCAAGCGGGTCCATCATCAGAATCACAAGGCCATTGTAACACATATAGCGAATAATTTTAGATTGCCTTGTCAGACTCTGTCATGCATTATCGGGAAGTAAATAGAATACAGTGCAAAATATTTTGTGTCGATCGGGGTGACACGGAACTGGTAGCTTCGTTTAGTTTCAGACCAGTGTCAGACAGACGATTTGTCGACTCGATCTTTGTTTCTTGCACCAAAGGAAGACGGCGAAAAAGCATACAGATTTAACATTGTTAAACGATGCCTTTAAGGATTTTGATTTTAACTGTCTAGATTATTATATACGTACATGTTTATATATACACTAGAATAAACATGAACAATAAGAACACGTATATACACAACTCATAGTGATTGGTGTACAGAAGCTTAGCAAATTCACAAACGTAGGGATAGACATTGTCACCTTCTTACAAAGAATTACGGATTTATTTTTCTTCCTGACTCATGATAGAAAAAACAAAATCATCCATAAAGTGTTTAAAATCCCCTATTTGTAGTTACTTCCTTTTTGTAGTTACGAATATGTTAATTTAATACTCACTATTCCTTAATATCAATCGAGGCGTCCACAATTGTACAAGCATTGCTTTTTAGTGGACCCCTCTGTTTCCAATATATATTTCTTAATTGTTGCAAATGATTATAATTGTTTTGTAATATTTTTTTGGTAACAGAAATAAAATTGAATTGAAAGAAGAAAAAATAGAAAAGGCGATTTAAGATTATTTTGATCTAAAAAAATTAGCATGTTACTTAATGTTCAACATTATCATACGTTATTTTTTTTTTTTTTTAGGTTTATTTTTACTCTGTTCGTTAACAACATTATAAAATATTGTTCAATTATTGATTTTTGTTTTTACATTATGCAAAGTATTATCCTTTAAATTATGCTTTGAATAGCCTCTGAATTCAAGCTCTGCTGTATTTATGATGTATCTTTATTTTCTTTCACTATAGGGTTATGCCAGCATTATTTAGTTAGCGATTGTATTATAATAACTAGTCTAAACTGACATACTCTTAACTATGTACATGCTCCTGTGGCTGGGGTTTCCTTATTGTAAATAATAACCATTAAATCATAATTAATAATAATCATCAAATGATATCAAATGAGGTTCAATTCAACCGAAAACCTGTATTTTCAGCTGTTTTGGATTAAAAAGTCATCGTTTAATTTCATGGATAAAAATATATTAAAGAATTTTATAATTTTTTCATTCAATTTCGTCCCGAAACCTCCTTATCTTGCACATCTCATTGTCATTTTCGTCTTTTGTCATTCAATTTCAAACTTTGTCCAATCAATTTCATCATTTGCATCCAGTTTCGTCAAATTCAGATCAAGTTCACCTTCCTCGGTTGCAAACATATGAATAATTGAACCAATTTAGTAATTCTGCTAGCGATTTCGTCAAAGCGTCATTCGTCACTCGATCATAATAAGTTCTTGTCTATGCCAACGAATGTGAGTGAAATATGACGAAAATGTTTGACAAGTGTTGACATTGGCTGACCACTTACTAACATGAATGACAGATAAATAATTTTATTTTGATGTTTGCACGATACCGGATTCCTAGGACGAAACTTAAATGAACAAAGATGAATTTGAATGAAAAATGTGTTAAAATGGGCAGGAAATAAATTTACAGTTTTAATAATGGAATAATTTACGTTTATAAAATTTACCTTCAATGTTACATTTTACGGTTATCTATTTAAAAAATCAACTGCTTTGAGAAAAAATGATAATGGCTCTTATTGCAACAAGATATGTTCAGATACTGGTCCGACAAAATAGAGGGTTTGCCACTATGATTACATTTCAATTGTAACATAAAGGATATGAATTTATTATGCTCTAAACATAATTTGCCAGAATTCTATGTAGATCTTTTTTGTACTTGGTCAGAACTAAAATTAATTGACATGTTTAAAGTAAGAAATATTCCAAATTAAATTATTTGGAAAAATAGTAACATTACCTTGAAGAAAAAAATACTGTTTTATCGAGAATGGCAAGAGGCGGTTTATTGAAAATTCATAATTTGATTACAAATGGTAATTGGAATGACTCTACAATACTAAATACAAAAGTGAAAGCACAACAGCTCTCATTTGATTTTAAATATACAAAATTAAAGAAAGCATTTCCACAGTGTTGGTTGGATAGATTAAGCTATGAATTTGAACAAGAATGTGATATTTCGAATATGATAGAAATAGAAACAGGGGATAAATTGAATGTTTTTGTTATGAAAGTGAAAGATTACTATCGTTTGTTAATACGTAAAAAGTCAAAAGAACCAAATATCATTTACTTTTGGAATTTCTTTTTAGATTTGGATAATTACTTTGTTTGGAGGGATGTATTTTTATTCATATTAAAGCAAATTCGTAATAATAAAGTTAAACTATTTAATTTTAAGATGATTCATAGGTTTACTGCCTCAAAAGAAAACTTATATAAATGGCAAATTGTAAATAATAATTTATGCAACTCTTGTGGACAAGTTGACTAAACTTTTCATTTTATGTTATTTTGCAAGGATGTGACTTTGTTTTGGAAAATAATATGTAATTTGATATTTAATTTATTCCAAATAGAAATACAAATAGACCAGAAGATAATAGTTGTAGGTAAGGATATTGGAAACAAGAAATATTCACTTCTGAATACTATTCTAAATTATGCGCAATATTCAATTTATAAATGTTACGTTAAAAAGATTGTTAATGGTTCTGTTTACTACCCACATACTTTGTTTTTTTAAACTCAAGTCGTTGCTAAGATTATTTGTAAGATATGAATGGGTTAGCAAAGAAAATAATACTAGGCTGGAAGAATTGTTGAATATACTTTAATCTTTAGCCTATGTTATGTTTAACTCAATCATTGAGTTATTAATGTACATATGTATAACTATTATGGAAATAAAAATCTCGCTTGAGGACAAGAGAAGAAAAAATATCAACTGCTTTGAGAAACAAATCTAAGATTGTAAATAAATATGAAGAATATTGTACATGATAGCTTTGATTAACAAGATTCCAAAAAACTGTGTATGAAATTATGAAATTGTGTAGAGAATTATATTACAAATGATAATGGTGAGAAGCAGGATAATTGATGTAATTGATATTTTTAGTTCAGTAGATTTGAGAACAACGTTTCTCACATTATTGTTTGTTTTTTTAAATCTCATTGTCTCTACATTTGAATCGCTTTTTGAGCCCTTACAAACATCCTTACAAACATCCTTATATTGTACCTCTTATTAAATACTTTTCATCTCGTGTATCTTCAAGTAAATCATTCCCGTTTTTCGAAGTTTTGACTCGTCTCAGCTCTCTTTTTGCCTTTTCCAATTTACTTCTATTTAGCACCTATTATATTTTTTCTTCAAAAGTGAAAGAATTATGGACAGTCCGGTATTATACAACTCGTATTATTGATCGAGTAGTGATCCCTATGACCATCATCATGGTGATCAGCTGGTCATGCTGCTACTAACTTTTGTTATGCACATTGCAACTCCTAAAAATATGCATGCATGTTATAAATACTATGACCCTTTTACAGCCAACATCAAATTCTGTAGAACTTTGCAGGAATTATGAGTATATCATGTATGTCCTATCTGTGAAATTTAAACGTTGACAATGTCCTAATATAGGATTTTCCGGCCAAATTCGCGAGTTTGTCATTAATTAATATGTCGTGCGTTCAAATTCGACGGTTTTAGTGCTGTCAGATATATCTTGGGTTTATATTCCTTTTTCTAGTTTTCAAATCTATGAAGTTTTCGTTAGAATCTATGTATGTTTCATTCAAATTAAAGAATAATGTGCTTCTTTCGCTATTTGGTCATTCGATTTGGCGCAACACGATTTCTGACATCGCGAAGGTGTACTTTTAGCATTCCAATCCATGTGTTGCATTCAAATTAGCACTTTGTGTACTCAAATTGATGGTCAATATACATTTCTCGTTCATTACACACTTTTTATAGTTCATTCTTTTTCTTTCAAGATTGTTTTTTCCATGTGTATTTCACCATATTTTATTTTCTTGCATTTATACACTTTATATACTTTTAGATTTATCTGATATTCATCATCCTTTAAGTTTGATTGTTAAGAGAAAAAAACGACTTACATCTACGGACTTGATGGTTTCAATATTTTTGTAAATTTTCATATATGGAAGTTGTTTGTCTTGTGTTTCATCATAAATTTATCACATTTTCATTATGGAGGAATGGTACAATATTGTGACTGGGGTAGGTGTCCCCACTTTTCCGGGGTATATGAACATGTCCGTGCAGAAATGCCATATTCCTTGATTTCGCCCCTTCTTTACCTAATGTCTGACTACACCCATATGCATTGTCCTCAAAATTAATAAATGGAATAACAGAAAAGACCCTAATGGCAAATCATGCATTAAATTGCATTTTTTTTTTAAACTGTAGACGTGGGTTGTATTTCTTCCCCGTAACATTCCTAATATGAATGAACATAATGCGAATGCGAATGACAGGTGTTAATTTGAATGATAAAAATGACGCCTCGACAAGTGACGATTAATTTGAATGCTAGTTGAGCAGTTTCTAAATTAAATGACAGATCTATGAAACCCTTCGACCAAAATTCTAAATTGAATACCAAAACGGGGAAAATTGAATGATGATTGGCATGGCAAAGCCGATCTGCGCTAACTTAAATGCAAAGTAAATGAATTCGAATGACAAACTCGCAAATTTCGCCGGGAAATCCTATGTTCAAACTATGCAAGGAAACCTGTTTACTTGCTAGACTTCACTGTCAGACACTATTGAGTGACTGGCTGGCTTTGTTTCTTCTTTGGTAATAACATACATAAGATGAGCTGTAAATGTTACATGAGCATTTGTCTACATCAATAACCCACATCTTGTAATGGCCAAAATTAAACTGGTTGAATCTTTGCGCAGCACAAGACGTACGACAATTCAGTACAATGGTCTGAAAATCATATTATTACTTAC